CGACCCGCCCCTGCCCCCGTGGGCCACCACCGTCGCTGTCGAGCGTACGAGGGAGGCTGTCGCAGGCATGGGCTCATCGGGGTCGGTACCGCCGGCGGAGGAGAAGAACGGCAACATGGCGGGGCCGGGACTAGGGTGGCGGCGAGGAGAAGCCGGTCTCGTCATTCCGGAGCCCATGCTGCAGCAGAAGCCGCGGCCCGTCATGCCGTCGGTGGTTCCGCACCGGGTCTCCAGGGTCGGTGGTGATGGCGGCGGTGGCGACGGCAGCGATCCGAAGCGGCCGCTCGCCGCGCCTCGTCCGGCGACAGCTTCGCCGATGCTGCCGCCGGCCAGTGGGGAGCACAAGTCCAAGTCGCCTCAGGAGTTGCAGCAGGCGTTGACACCCGGGGTGAAGATCGTCCGCAGCTACAGCTACCACGGGCTGGGGAGCATGGCGCTCTACGACGCGGCCAAGAGAGGGTGAGGGTTCGGTTTTGGTGTGCGCGCGTTGTACGGGCGCAGCAGCTCTCATTCCCTAGTGTTTCGTGGATGGGTTGTGGCTCAAGTGGAGGTGGACTCTGCTGGTGTTGCGTCCGTTCACTGGATGTTGCACATGCGCCTTACCTTGAGGTTTGCGAACCGATCGGTGCACAAGTTGCTTTGCGTCGCTCCCTCCTTCGTAAAGGCGGCATTTGAGGTCGATCTGTTTACAATTTTCAATTTTTTCTCGCTTGTCTCTGTCTCTCGCCCACCCGCCCATTAGGAGCGCGCGCTACTCTAGCAGGAGGCGCCCGAGCGAGAACAGCAAGCAGTTCAAGCTCTGCTTCTTCCGCTTCTTCGACTTCCTCGTCTGCGACCTAGTCAAACGGCGTCAACGAACCATCGTCAAGGAGCGCGCCGCCCGCCAGGCTGCCGAGCAGCAGCAGTCGTCATCGTCGTCAAATCGTTCCTCGACCGGGGGAGGCGGGGCGGCTAACTCTACGATGCGTGGCAGGGGCGCCAGCTTCGAGCGGTTGAAGACACAGCATACCCCCCCACCGCCTCCGCCGCCGCCGCCCGCTAGAGGCGGCAGCAACTCTGGTAGCCCTCACGCTGGCATGCCGGCGGCAGTGAGGGGCTAGCCTTGTGCAAGTTTGCCGTAGTACACTGACACGGGGTATGTCATCGGGACGGTCTTGTGAATGAGGTGCGATGTTTTCGCCTGGTGTGCTGTTAACTTTCCTCTTTTTCCCCCCTCTCTTCTTGTTTGTGCCGTGCGTCGGGGTTGTTTAGTTCCACGAGGACACGAATAGCGGGGAGGGGGGGGGGGGGGGGGGGGGGGNGGGGGGGGGGGGGGGGGGGGGGCAGCTTCGGCTAGGTTTGGTTTGGTGTTGATTTCTCCGGCGGGATGGTTGTTGGACCGGTAGGTTTAGGCTGTGAATATACTTTGACGGTCGGGTGTAGCCCATCTGGGCTTGTCAAGACGGCACGCTCGTGTCAAATCGTTATCATAGATGGTGCTGAAAAGGTGTTTGTTTTTGTTTCGGCGGTGATTGTGTAGGATCGCCCGTAGTATTGTGGTAAAAGTTGTCATCGGACGTGATTGAGTTGAGCTATGCTTGTTTCTGGCGGGCCATTCTTTTTTGACTCTTGGTTGTTTCTCGTACGCTAGAGCAGCGAGTAGCAGCAGTTGCAGCAGTCGTAAGGTGGGCATCCTGTTAAGCCTGCGTTTGCCAGGCCGTGTATGGTGCTAGAAATAGTACGTTCGACCGGCCTAGCGAGTCAATGTTTCGGCCATGGTCGGCTTATTTAGTTCGAACTCTCTTCTTCTTCGTCGAAAGCAGCTCGATGGATGGGGTTTTGGAAGGGCGGTGTGTGTGAGATGCTGGAGAAAACTATGAGACATTTATGACACGGAGTAGATGGTCAGCAAGCAGTCCCCCCAAGGCATAAACAGTGCTGCTTCTTGGCGAGACTGCTGTTGTTGGTGTGTGGATGTAGGCAGAGAAGAACAGGCTGCGTGCGTCACACGGCGTTTTCAACTCATCCGTCGTGCCTTCGTTTGTGTAATTGTTGCGACGGACATTCGTAAATATTTCGTGTTGTAGCTTACTTACGTCTTGTTGGCGTTGTTGCCATGTTGTGAAATCAACATATTATCTGGTTTGATTTTCACGCGCACATAGGTGTGCACGCCCCCCCCCCCCCCCCCCCCCCCCCCCCCCCCCCCCCCCCCCNTTGCCACTGACCCTACATAGATGTCGTTCCAGGTCAAGCTCTCGCTGTTGTTGCGGGACGTGGACCTCAACGAGCATGATGTGGATGAGACGTGCCATAGGCTGAGATCTGTCATTTTGATGGACGCTACGGCAAGCGCGTGCGCGCGAAGAGTGGATCTTCACAACGTTTACGGCACAAACCAGCTGACCGATGACAAACGATTCTACCCTCAAGCGTGTATTTGCCATTTTGTTTCTCTTGCTCTTTCTCGCGAGGTTTGCGCCATACTCGTTTTTTATCCTCATCAGCTGCGGGTGAATTGTCTACCACCCAGAGACTTGGCGATCATTTTGCTACCGGCCGCTCGCCCAAAATTGCCCTCGAACTGGATGCTGCGTCGACGTGAGTGCCCCCCCCCCCCCCCCCCCCCCCCCCCCCCCCCCCCCCCCCCCCCCCCCCCCCCCCCCCCCCCCCCCCCCCCCCNGACTAAGCATGTATGTTTGTTGTCTCATTATTTTTGCGCCATCCCACCATCACGGGTCATACGGGGTTAAGTTTTTCCTGCACAACCTACTCCGATTTTCGCGAGAATAAAGTTATCCGTAACGAGAACCACAAGTCCATTGGGGAATTGACGTGCATGTGGTGAAGTGAGACGATGACACGTGCATTACGACTGATAGTTACCCTATCTCGAGGTCTACGTGGCGTGGTAGACAGAAGTCTGTGGGACGCTTGGTATTGCCGCACTGCTGTGGGGTAGAGGTACAAAACACGCGATTGCACAACTGCTGTCAGGACGTCTGATTACCAGGCAGCGTTCACGTGGTGGAGGTGCAATGGTTGGTGGTTGCGAATTAGTGTGCCGCTTATTTGTCTTGTTCCCCAAGTGGAGATCATCTGAATGTATGTGAACAACTCACTGTGGAAGATATGCATGTGCAGGCCGCCGACAAACACCAACAAGAGCGTCAATCGTAAGTAGCTTCAAGCGGTGGTGGTAGGGGGGTAGGGGACCTCTCTCTCTCTCTACTCTCTCTATTTCTCTCTCTGGTGCGCCTGCTGTTATAACGAGTAGACTACGTGCCTGGGGGGGGTCGGCATCGAAAGCGCCCGCCGGATGGGTCCTGTAGCTTTCGTCACCTTGTGAACGACTTCCTATATATGGGGTGTGTACCCTTACCGCCTTGCCGCGCCCTCACCGATGACGGCAACGCACTCAGTAAATGATTTGGGAATGAAGCGTTGTATCTACATCTCGCAGCATTAGCTACACTATACGTGCACTTCTAGCAAGAGATACATTTTTTCACGCACTTGAAACGAAAATCATTTTTTTGGAAAGCAAATATAACGTCACAGAAAGACTACCCGTTATTTCCTTGTTCGCCTCTTATTTTCATACAAGCGCACATGTGTAGCAGCCGACAGTCGCCTGTTTGCCCCTCAGCCCGTGCGTTGATGCACGAGCGGCAGCGTGAAGAAACACACTCAACATATGAAAATTAGCACATACTACAACAGCGCATTTCCTTACAGGCTGAGTTGTCTGAGACAGACACATGATACATGTGATGCATTCATGCAAATACGTGATCAACCCCCCCCCCCGGACTTCTCTGCTGCGTCCCCCCTTGTCAAATTCAAATTTCTGCTCTTTAGCTGAGGCACGCACACCTCATCACGTGCCAGGGCAGAGAGCAAGCTAGTGAGGAGATTCCATCAGAAGGGCAGCAGCGTGTGCCAGGCCTCACTGTCCAGAGATTTTCCCTTCCATCGACGAGAGCTGAAGCTCCCTCCCCCGCACAAGTGCCTCGCAAAGCAAGGAGAGAGAGACACGTTGGCAACGGCAGAGGGAGGGCCGTCATAATCATCAGCTCGAATCAATTTTCAAATTGCGGCCGCGCGCGCTGGTAGCGGAGCGTGCTCAAGCGACCCACCAGGTTCACCACGAGCCTCGCGTGGACTCCCAGGAAGTAGGCAATCATCTGCCTTGTCTGCTGAGCGCGCTTTCCTTGGATTGCGTAAGCTTGTCGAGCTGCTGAGAGGTTGTTGCCCTTGTTTGTAATTGAAGTGCGTCCGTTAAACAACGAACAGCAGCTGGGTACGCTGCCCTTCCATCAACGCTCGCTTCCAGGGAGCCTCTGCAGGGCACGCCTCACCTGCCTCACCCACTGCACACCAACCATCCCAGTGCAGTACCCTCTCTTGATGCCAAGAGCGTTCAGCGTTGCACCGCGCCGCCGCTGCCACCTTCCGTCGTCCCTGCCGCGGCAGCAGCAGCAGCAGCAGCAGCAGGGTCCACCAGCGACATCATGGCACAGAGGATTCGACCGCAATCCCGCGGCGGTGGCGGCACCAGCGACGCTGCCGCTGCCGCTGCTGCGCCGAGCACCTCCAAGCGGAAGCGCGTCCTGCAGGACATCAGCGAGGAGCACAGCTGCATCGGCGTGTCCACCCGCCAGCAGTCCTCCTCCGTGAGCTCGAGCCGCCGATCCCAGCAGGCTCCGCGGCGGCCTTCGCCCATGGCCCCCCGCAGATCGAATCGAAACTCGCGGCGTGTAAACGCGCACCAGGCGGCGGCGTCTACCACCAAGACTCGCAGCAGCAGCAGCAGCAGCGGCGGCAGCAACGTCAGCACCGGCAGCGGCAGGCGGACTCGATCATCATCCTTGGTGCCGAGAGGTGCCAACACCACCAGCGGCGGCAGCGGGCGCGCAGCGGCGGTAAGCTGCAAACAGGAGCAAGCTGAAGGGGAAGGAGACAAAAGTGATGATGATGAGAGCATGTCCTGCGACGAAGATCTCGAGGGCATGGTCGTGGATCTGAGCTTCGAAGGAGTCGCGGATGACGGGGAGGCCGAGCCGCCGGCGCCGCAGCGCCGGCGCCGCAGCAGCACGGCGGGTGCTGGGCGGTGCGGCGGCGGAGAGGGAGCGGGCGGTAAGGGCGCGTGCGGCGAGGGAGGTGGAGGTGGCGGCGACCCAGCTGCTGCTGCTGCGGCTGCTGCTGCGGCTGCGGCTGCCGCCGAAGGCGGAGGCTGTGCTGACAGCAGGCGCAGTAAAGACGGCAGCAGCTGCTCGAGCCAACCACAAGCACGGCCGCCGGCGGCGGCGGAGGCGGCTCAGCAACAGGTGGGCGGGGCGCGGAAACCACACGCACAGCAGCAGCAGCAGGAGGAGCAGCTTCCGCCGGGGGTGAAAGACATCGATGCCGGGGTGTCGGAGCAAGGGGAGTCCCACCTGCTGAATCCCGACTACGCCAAGCAGCACGCGCTGTACCTGCGCGAGCAGGAAAAACGGAATAGGCCGGTGGCCTACATCGGTACGAAGCAGAGGGACATGCGGCCGAGCATGAGGAGCGTCCTCGTGGATTGGATCTGCGAGGTCTGCGACCAGTTCAAGCTATCTTCGAGAACTCTGTTTCAGGTAAGCGACCGAGCGCGGTGCTGGTGTGCATTTACGTTCTTCGTCTTTTTTAAAAATTGGCGCGGAAACGATCGGATGTCGAAAATAGACCAAGGCGGATCGTCTTCGGTAACATGCCCTTTTCAGTAGCACCTGCCAGCGGAAGGCATCCCGCCCCGCGCGCGCGCTTTCTGTTTTCGAAAACACGCGCGCATTATTTATTGCTTATCCTCACGCACTACGCCCGCTGCTCCTTGGTGAGCTCTCAAAAATTTGAATTGAATTTCCAACTATATTGTAACAGCAGGCTGTATGCATAGGTCTGGAGTCTCTCCGTGATGTGTCGAGAACGCTGCCCTTCCCACACCTACACCAGTACATCCAACTCCCCTACGGTTGTATCTACATCGTTCCCGCTTCGTGGCGTTGTTGTGCTTCTTCTCTTGGTGCCTACAACAATGAGCACTACCCCTGTATTTTTTCGCGATACAGCACTTTGTTTTCAAGCCTATGTATGTACACCCGATCACCTTTTCGCTGCCGCGCTACGTTCCAAGTTCTTTTTGGAAGATGAACACCAGGTATGTAGACTATATGCACACCATTCTCAACGAGCGACTTTGCTACTGACCGGTTAGAGGTGCTACCATCATACAATACCATTCACCATACCCCGACGATCACGCGTTGTTTGAACAACTTTGATCTCTGTGAATGGCATCGTTAGCTGTAACTAGTCACAGCACTGCGATGAAAAGCGATCCGGCTTTTGATACGCTATTCAGCCATTTGGACTATTCTGTTGTGTAGCTCGGGGAGGATCACAAAAATCTGAGCTTTCGGAAGGAAGACTACATCGCAGCATTTGACAACGTTAAGGTTGAAACGATCCCCGCGTCCTTGCCCGATTTTAACGGACGCACTGCTCAACACCAAGCAATGGAGAGCTTCGCAACCAGACAACTTTTGTACCAAACCAAGCGCATTTTAGGTGCTTTCTCCGTTATCACGGTACAATCGAGCCCTTGTTCGCAAAGTACCAATACAGTCGGGGGTGATGCCCGACGTGCGATTGTGCCGCTTGACCCCTGATGCGTTGTCCGATTCCCGAGCACATTTGTTTGCGTATCAATGCTACTCTTCACATGGTAGAGACGAAGCTGCCAAACGCTTGACATGTCCGATTTTCATTCGTCCCAGATTTTTTTTTCTCGCCTTGTGTGGATGAGTTTAGGTTTCTTGCGCCGATTCTCATCAGGTGTGCGAGGGCATGACACCAAAAGCACGTGCGTGCAAGGCAGTCATGCGTAGTCCGAAAGACGAGTCCTGAATGTTGATTTTTTTTTTGTACATGCTCACGTCCGTTTATGATGGTACCAGCTTCGTTACCCTTGGCATGGTTTCGGCGTCGTTACGCCATGTTATAGCGGGGAAATTTTTGTTGGCCAGCGATATGGCCAGCGTTATGTAGATGATTCTCCGTGTGTCTCGTTCTCTCAGCCTGCCCGTGAAGTTTGTGCACCCAGGCAAAGCCCGAGCTCTTACTATTTGAGGACGACGACGCACATGCTCCTAACTCTCAGACTCTGAAACGCGGCGCGTCTTTCTCTCTCTTCCGTGGCACTCACTGATTTCGCGTCTCCCACCCCCCCCACACACACACATGCCCTCGCTCCAAACTGTCAAAGCTCTCAGGACGTCGTGTTTAAAACGCGTCTGCGTCTTGTGCTCTGTTACTTACTGATTCCGCGTCCCCTCTCCACCCCGTTAGGCGGTGGACCTGATCGACCGAAGCCTGTCGGCGTTCGAAGTTCCCCGGGGGAAGCTGCAGCTGCTGGGGTGCGCCTGCGTGGTCCTGGCCTCAAAGTACGAGGAGATCTACGCCCCGACGGCCGAAGAGCTGGCGCACATCTCCGACAACACCTACACCCGTGCGGAGATCATCGCCATGGAGCTGGTTGTCGTAAACGCGCTCCAGTTCCGGCTGACGTCCATCACCCCGTGCAACTTCCAGGACCGCTTCTGCCTGGCGGCGAAGTCGAACGCCCGCGAGCGGTCCCTCGTGTCGTACCTCTTGGAGCTCCTCCTGCAAGACTACCAAGGGGTCAGCCTGCTGCCCTCGCTGAAGGCCGCGGCTGCGCTGTACCTGGCTCGGCAGACGCTGCACCCAAGGGGCTGCCCGCGCGAGGCTTGGACGAGGCAGACGGAGCATTACACGGGCTACGCTGCCCGGGAGCTGGAGCCATGCGTGCGGCGGCTTCACTACCTGCACGTCAGGGCCGAGGGGAACAATCTCCACGCCGTCAGAGACAAGTACAAGAAGTCGGCGCTGCACCGAGTTGCGGAAGTCACTTGTGCCCTTGAGGACTACCTCCACTTTGGGGGGGAAGGGGATGTCCGCCAGTAGCGGCGTTTGTATGAGGGGTGTGCTGGGTGAGTGTTTCCGCGCGCGGTGCCCTTTTTTGCGCTACGACGGAGATTTGGGGTTTGATGCCCCCCCCCCCCCCCCCCCCCCCCCCCCCCCCCCCCCCCCCCCCGGGGGNTCGCCCCAGGCGGCAAGCCACCCTTGGGGGGGGCGGGGGGGGGTCCTTCTGGAGTGCTTTTACTCGTTTGTTGAGTCGTTTTTTTTTGGAAGGTTCGACTGAAGAATGCAGGTGCAGTGAAAACGATTCGATCCATTATTTGCCGGCTGGAAAGGGATGATGGACGAGGCTGCCGGCATGTCGGAGACGAGAGGGTGGAAGTACTGTAGAGTCCATGCACTGCTGCCAACGGGAGGTAGACGATTTCCTGCTGTAGATGGATCGCTTCTGGACGCCCTTGGAAGGTTTTCCAGCGGCGGTCCGTGCTACGCTATTAGCTCTCTTGCATGCTTAGGCGTTCCCGGCGTTCCCTCTTCTCCCACACGAGTTCAATCAAACCACACGCTGCTCTGCGCGTCGCAGGAAAAAAAATTCTTTGTAGCATGGAAGGGATGGAGTTCTTTGCGCCTCGGCGTCAGTTGCCAGGACAAGGGGGAGGGAGGAAGAGGAGGAGGAGGAGGAGGGGGAAAACCCGTTCTCTCTCCCTCTACGCCTAGTGGGGCTCTCTTTGTGCTTGACATAGATTTACGAGAGGAGCGCGTTGCGTTGTATTCGCCGAAGACTTGCCCTCGATGGTGGACTGAGAGGGCGACTTGATTTGAGTCAGGGGGTTCCGTGGGGGGGGGGGGGGGGGGNTTTTTCCCGGGGGGTGGGAGGGGGGGGGGGTTCGGTGCGCAGCCGTGGACGCTGGGCAGTCGAACTACCGCCAGATGAACATGTTTTATGGTTTGCGTATCTGAGATTTACTACAAGTCTGGAAAGCGAGGGCCGAGGGGCGGTGATTGTTTTTATTATTTTTATCCATCTGTCTTGTCATGTCTGTTCGGCTTCCTTCGGGGTTGCAGGATGATATCTCGAGGCGCGTGTCGACCGCCGCAAGCGGGATGACCTTGCAACGTGGGAAGTCAAGCTGGGGTGCAACTGAAGAAGCGTGCGTTCAAGAACGTGGCTTGGGTAGGGTGTTGGCCGACGATCACACGAACGGCTGTTTGGCCTCGTTTCCGCTGGTATCTATCGTTTGTTATCTCCGAGTGGGGCTATAGTATGTTCAAGTATCAACCAAGACACTCTGATGTATTTTTTTATATACGTTCTTTTCTATCCGTGTAGTTTACTCTTTTTCTGGTTGTTTGGGGACTTTCTTTTTGTTAACGTCTCCGCTTTATTTTCTATAGACAGTTTGTTTTCCTCTCTCGTGTAGTGCTACAGAGTATGCATACGGGTCTGTTTTCCTTTACTTTTAAGGACAGGCGCTAGTTAGAGGCAAAACCAATCATTCTGATTTCATATTTTTCCTTGCCCTTGGCCCTTGTTCACAGGCCCGGGGGGGTGGGGAAGCATAGTGGCAGTAGTTTGAAGTGTTGATTTATTTTATGGTTTAATTTGTTACCGCCTGGTATACCAGGTATGACATGTCCACAGCAGTACCCGGTGCAGCAGCGACAGTTGGTTCGGTTGCGGCGAAAACGTGCACACACATAGTATACCGGCATACCACTACTGGCAGGCGAGGAAGCCAACAAGAGCGGGCGTCGAAGGTAGTACCAGTAGTACGAAGCATAGGAAAGGGGCGAGATATGTGGGGCCTATTACGAGGTCAAGGGTGTACGTTGAAGGGGGACAACGCAAGGAAAATAATGGGAAAAGCACACGCCCCTCCCCCATGCTACCACTAGGCCGGGACACATAGAACGAGTGAGAGCTTGAAAGAGTGCGTGTAAAGTGCCAGCAGTGATGTGCTTTCCATGTTTTTCGCGGACGCGTTTTTGTTGGCCTACAGGATGCGCTTGTTGTCATTTTCGTGTTGTTGGGGTTAGGTGGGTTGTGTCGAAGAGAGGGGGGGGGGG